TGTGTGTGTGTGTGTGTGTGTGTGTGTGTGTGTGTGTGTGTGTGTGTGTGTGTGTGTGTGTGTGTGTGTGTGTGTGTGTGTGTGTGTGTGTGTGTGTGTGTGTGTGTGTGTGTGTGTGTGTGTGTGTGTGTGTGTGTGTGTGTGTGTGTGTGTGTGTGTGTGTGTGTGTGTGTGTGTGTGTGTGTGTGTGTGTGTGTGTGTGTGTGTGTGTGTGTGTGTGTGTGTGTGTGTGTGTGTGTGTGTGTGTGTGTGTGTGTGTGTGTGTGTGTGTGTGTGTGTGTGTGTGTGTGTGTGTGTGTGTGTGTGTGTGTGTGTGTGTGTGTGTGTGTGTGTGTGTGTGTGTGTGTGTGTGTGTGTGTGTGTGTGTGTGTGTGTGTGTGTGTGTGTGTGTGTGTGTGTGTGTGTGTGTGTGTGTGTGTGTGTGTGTGTGTGTGTGTGTGTGTGTGTGTGTGTGTGTGTGTGTGTGTGTGTGTGTGTGTGTGTGTGTGTGTGTGTGTGTGTGTGTGTGTGTGTGTGTGTGTGTGTGTGTGTGTGTGTGTGTGTGTGTGTGTGTGTGTGTGTGTGTGTGTGTGTGTGTGTGTGTGTGTGTGTGTGTGTGTGTGTGTGTGTGTGTGTGTGTGTGTGTGTGTGTGTGTGTGTGTGTGTGTGTGTGTGTGTGTGTGTGTGTGTGTGTGTGTGTGTGTGTGTGTGTGTGTGTGTGTGTGTGTGTGTGTGTGTGTGTGTGTGTGTGTGTGTGTGTGTGTGTGTGTGTGTGTGTGTGTGTGTGTGTGTGTGTGTGTGTGTGTGTGTGTGTGTGTGTGTGTGTGTGTGTGTGTGTGTGTGTGTGTGTGTGTGTGTGTGTGTGTGTGTGTGTGTGTGTGTGTGTGTGTGTGTGTGTGTGTGTGTGTGTGTGTGTGTGTGTGTGTGTGTGTGTGTGTGTGTGTGTGTGTGTGTGTGTGTGTGTGTGTGTGTGTGTGTGTGTGTGTGTGTGTGTGTGTGTGTGTGTGTGTGTGTGTGTGTGTGTGTGTGTGTGTGTGTGTGTGTGTGTGTGTGTGTGATGGTACATGCACAACTACACAAAAGAAATACAGTTGCCGAGTTAATGTCCATTCAAATAATGGACTCAACTCTCCCCTCTCACACTACACTACCAATCTTCCTCAGAGAAATTTTTTGGGAAAACCACTAAATTTTAATAAATAATACCTCAAACTAAAGTTAGGATAATACAATTGACATTGCTGGATTCTTGTAAGACCAGGAATATTTTGAATATAAATGTTATATATTTTTGCACAAAAGATAACATAGTTAATTTGAGAAAAATTTTTATCTAAAATTTGTATGTCTAATGCAAAATATATGATGTTTATATTCAAAATGATCATCAAATTATAAGAATTCCAGCAATGTAAATTATATTCGAACGGTAATTTGTATGAATTTTTTGAGCTAAAACAAATATCTTCAGTTAATAAAAAAAAAAAAAACTTCACGGGGTAGATGATTTGGTTGGGTCATTCGGTCCCTCCACCCCCACACCAACCGTCCCCAGGAGATGTTGGGATAACCACTAAATTTTAATAAATAATACCTCAAACTAAGTTAGGATAATATAATTGACATTGCTGGATTCCTTGTAAGACCAGGAATATTTTGAATATAAATGTCCATATATTTTGCAACATAGTTACTCTGAGAAAATTTTTATCTAAAATTTGTATGTCTAATGCAAAATATATGATGTTTATATTCAAAATGATCACCAAATTATAAGAATTCCAGCAATGTAAATTATATTCTGGCAGGGTAATTTGTATGAATTTTATAGCTAAAACAGGCAGTCAGGCAAGGTGGGGCAAATCTAAAATAAGCGTCCGGCAGGACACTCATGATATGTGGAAAAAATCGTGTTAAGTGAAAGTTCCCATCTGAGGCACGCTATATATGTAAAGCGTTAAAGTGAAACGCGTTAGCGGGAAGTAATACTCATATATATATATATATATATATATATATATATATATATATATATATATATATATATATATATATATATATATATATATATATATATATATATGTAATAAATGTATTTAGTAAGTATGTACAGTAATTCTTTTCACTCAAATCCTAATGAAACACTATTGAATTAGAATACTGTAGCTGGTGTAAACAGTCGGAACAGTCCCACCACCGATTGTCTCTCGTGAAGCAAGCTTAAAAATTAAAGAAAATACTTGCAGTGTGTTTAATATATTACAGAATGTTATAAATAAGTAAATAAACAAATAAATCGGTAAATCCATTTGAAGTAAATGAAACAATTGTGTTCGACACCGACATTAGTTCCACTTAAATAACAGACGTTTAAGTGAGTCACTAGTGTTTGCACTACACCAACCGGTAACATTTGATGCCATTACTTGAAGTGAATTGGCCTTATTTTAAAAAACCAATGATGTGTAAACAGCACTGGTCAATGGGATGGTTGGTAAAGGACTACTGGGTCAGTAAGCTCCCAATGGTAAGTGTCACATTTGGGGTACCGGTCTTTTACAGCAAATAGAGCTCAAAAGCTACTTTTTAAATGGAAATTTTGGGGGCCGTCTTATACACCCCGTCGCCTTGTAGGCCGAGATATACGGTATACTTATCACAATGTTCCTAAAAATACTTTAGGTTCCGTGTTTATTCAAGACATCTTCAGGTCATGAGACCCACTAATCCCTCACCTAAGAAACGGTGACCTAATATTCCATCAAAGGTCAGTAATTTGAGACCACTAATCCCCCCCCACCCTACCTCCACCTGACATTGGATCAGGTCAGTTACAAGAGACCCACTAATCCCCCACAGCTCCATGGGTGTGAAAAATTAGTCTTTGCTGTGAGACATATCATAAAGATTTTTAACTTTAAATATATTTATTGAACCAAATGTTTAGATAAACTATTCTGGATTATTATAGTAAAGAAATGGAGTTTCTAACTTAATTCGAACTGCATTTATGAACTCTGGTAGTTTAGACTCAAGGAAAACATCCCCAGCACCCAGAAACATTCTGGGGAAGAGGGTTAGTGTCCATCTGTGCAAGATGTATAGTTTAGACACTCGGAAACTTTTCCCAGTAACTGGAAGAGATTCCCGGGATAAGGAATATTTCCGGGTTTGAGAAAGTAGTCTGGTTAGCTGGAAATCTTTCATCACCAGAAGTGCTCTGCACCAATTGTTCCAGCTAACGGGGGATATCACTGTATTTATGTTTTTGGCCTACTCGAAATTACGAGTTGAAAAATTACAATAACAGAGTTTGCCCGGTACGAAGAGAGGTAACATCTAACTTGGCGACCTTCAAAGTCCACATACACTTGTTCATGTAAGGTAAATGAAAATGAATCTTTGTGTTGTATAAATGTATGGATTTTATGTCTATTTATTCATTACAGTATTTGAGTTATTTAGACATTATTTAATCATTACAGCAGCAGGATATAAAACTTGTTTGGTCTCTTCAGGGGTTCAGGAATGGAACCTGCTTTTCCCGTAAGTTATTAATATTGTTATGTCATGTATTATAATGTTACACAGGAGGGCCAAATGGCAAACAGAGCTACTAAAATGCTTATGGGTTCAGTTGAAATTCGATAAAACCCTCATTAATTAAGTGCAGCTTTGGTTTAGGGTCTTGTGAAATCATATAACATTTTAATGGTTTAATGGCTAAACGTATACGTATTACAATATGGAATGTGGACATGGGATTGGTTAACTTAATATATTAGTATTTGTAAGATCCTGTGAGTAGAGGTAACAACAACAAATGAGCAGGTTCGTTGACTGCTTCAGAGGGAGGGTTAGGGTTCACAGTTCAAGATTTTACCTTACACTTATAATAAATAAAGTGAATTTACTGTGAATAACAATGTCAGTGGCACTTTGCTTAACAAATGATAAATTAAATATAAAATAAACTAGTGTATGGTATATCATAAGCTGGACCTAGACCATTCAAAGTTTCTGGTTCAACTCTTCATAACAAAGCTTCAGTCACAGTAATCTAATTTTTAAACTCTCAATACACATATATAACACAAATACACAACAAATGGTCACCTAATAAAATCACTAAAGCAGTACTGAGTAAGTGTTCCCCAAGTTCAGCAAATGTATGTCTGCCTTGCTGGGAGTCCTGGCCGTGTGTGACTCTCGCTGGCAGCCAGACTGAGGGATCTCAAACCTACCACTATCTAGTGTGGAAATTAATTTGGCTTGTCCTCGATATAAGTCAACTATTTTTAACAAATTTTGTCTTTATACATTATATTACATAGAGCAATAACATTATTTAGCAACAACATCAGATACATTATCATCTTATATGAGGTGTCCGGGGCCAGAAGGGCGAACCGACCATTTCATAGAAAATGTGATTTTTCCAGACTCCAGCCGAGTACAACCGTCCAGACCTCGTGGTGTAAAAATCTAAAGGAAATTCGACTTTATTCCCCCCTAGCATGCGGTCCAAAGTTACGTGATTTTGACAGAAAAACATGCATACCAGGTCTTGGGCTCCGAGCCAGGAGTTGGGGGATCATACCATTAATTTATTTCAGAAACATAGTCTCCTTCATCATACAAATCTAATGACACCCAATATGTACAAATTTTCGTACACATAGAGGGTGGTATAGACCGATCAACTTTAAAGTCAATTATCTCAAAAGTAACATTTGGTCCGTTAGCCCTTCTTGCCCCGGACGCCTCATATCAGTACACTTTATATTTAAAAACGCTAACATTAAACCCAAACACCAAATCGAGTATGCATACCAACACACACGTAGGTAACCACTCAACTACTTGTAACAATATCAATATACGATCGATCACTTAGCGATGACTGTTTGAGGTCCCTAACCCTATTGCAAAACGATCATTGCCTGTATAACTCAAAAGGTATAGCAAACCTGAAGACAATTAATTTAATAAACTTCCACAAGGTGTTATTATCCACTCACCTGATTAGCAGCACCGTCACCATACAGAGACACATTGATGCCTCCATTCTCTAAGTACTTGTTGGCTAGAGCAACACCCGCACCGACGGGAACCTGTGCTCCTACGATACCATTACCTCCGTAGAAGTTCTTGGTGTACATGTGCATGGATCCTCCCTTGCCTCGTGCCACGCCTTGTGTCCTCCCCGTCAGCTCAGCCATGACACCTGCCACAAACACAGTCTTCAATTCTAAGATGACACTGTTCAGACATTATCATAACATACGACATTCAAACAGTCTTAACTACAATTCTACATACATGAGCCATATTTATATATAAGCATCCTCACTTCCCCATTTTTTTTATAATACAGGTACTCCTCGACTTACGACCGCCGCAGTTGTACAGTGTATAAAATATTTTTCAAATTACGTATTTTCTAGTACCGAAACGTTTCCGTCCCATATGACAGCATGGGCTGGGACGCCTCGTGGTGTACAGCATCCACGCGTAGCCTGCACAGTTGGTGTTTGGCCGTCGTTGGTGTTAGTGATCGAGCGGTGTACTGACAAAATTTTTGTTTCTAATTCCATTTAAAATGACTGGCAAGCATAAAAGTGAGAGTTCTGGTGGTGCTGATAAGAAAAGGAGACAGTCAATTACTTTTGAGATGAAAATGAAAATAATAATGCAATATGAAAATGGAAAAACATTAGCAACCATTTCACGCGACCTAGGCGTCTCTCACTCGACGATATCAACAATTAAAAAATTATTGAGGCCCCGTGTGCATTCAGCTGACTACATTAAAGGTAAGTGCACAGCAACACTTTATTAATTTTTCATTATTGATTACTTTTACTATACCGTATTTCATTTTAGAATTTCTATGTATTATTTTCGACTTACGACCTAGTTGTCGGTCCGGAACCCCCGTCGTAAGTCAAAGACAGACTGTACTATAGATGACAAAGATTGACACAGCTGAGAACCTGCCACCTTGAATTCCAGGACTGACCCTCCACATTTAGTTCGCAACTATTCACCCACTAACCCGAGGGAGGAGGAAGAATATCTGAGCTACTCAGCTATTACTTCAGTTCAAAAGCTGGATTTCAGGATAAATCTTATAATTCTACTTTGATGTTCTCCCTTAAGAGATTTTCATAGCAGCAGCCAGCCAAAAAAGTCGAAAGTGGTGCTATTACAATGGCACCAAAGGCCAAGCAAACATTTACCCTTTAAGAGATGTTAATCTACTTATTAAAACAAAGGTTGGCTTACTAAAATGAGCACACTGACCTATCTCCCCTGTACCACACAATTCTCAGGTGTTGTCCCTGGCTATTGGAGCAAAGCTCAATCAGTGTCCAATGCCTCTGGTAACATGGGTGTTACACAATCTATAAAACAGTTCCTTGTGGAACCATCTTCAAGAACATTTTGAGCTGTCATTCCAAGCAGAACAGTTCACAAAGGTAAAAACTTAATAACAAATATCCACAAGGAGCTTCTCTCCCAGCTGTGACACCTCAAATGCTCAGGTAACCTACATACTGTACCACTCTGTGATGCATCACAAGCCTTGAACCTTTAGCTGTCTCTAAAAGAGTTCAGACAACAAGAAAAAGTTAAACATGAACCTTCATACACTAAAAACAAAGTGAAGAGAATACCTATAAACCCTACATGATAGTTCATGAGCCAGCCCTTAGATGACCCTGCCCGTCAATTGATTGAAAATGCCCAAAGGAGTGCCACCAGACTGGTATCCTCACTATGGCATCTCAGCTAACCAGAGATTAGAATGCCTGCAACTGCCTAGCTAATACTATAGACAGGCAAGGGGCGACCTATTTGAAGCTTATAAAGAAAGCATAGGGCACTATGCAGTCGAGTGTTCATACCTGGAGGTGGCAGATGCCTTCCCCACATGGGGTCACAGCTCAAGGGTGAAGAAGCCACAAGTCCAGAAAACTGTGAGGGCAAACTTTTTCAGAGTGAGAATTGTGAACTTGTGGACCAATTTACCAGTGTGTGTTGTGATGGCACCGAGTGCGAGCTCTTTTAAGACCAGACTTGAACCAACACTGATGCAGGTGCAGATACATTCAAAAGCCAGTGCATGCCCAGTACTTGCCAACAGTGCGTAATAAGAGACGTGACAATTGCCCAAGCGCCTAACGAGCAGATCAGTGGCGAAAAGGATAAAAGCAAAAAAAGTAAAAGTATCTATAACTATGTGATCTCCAGACACTGATGTGTTCATTCTTCTGCTAAATTTTGCACAGAACATCAGACTGAAAGTTGTGTTTGACACAACTTGGCAACAAAAGAAGACTCATAGACATACAAAGGATGATTTGGGATGTGGGGAAAGAGATCTGTCAAGTTCTTCCTGCAGTACTGTACATGCATTCAGTGGTTGTGATACCACAAGTGCATTTGACAGAAAGGGAATGATTACAACTATAAAGATACTCAGGCAAAACCTCAAGTTTCTTGACACATTTGCACAATTTGGGAACTCTGAAGAAATTCCTGACATTGTGTTTGCTGCTGGACTGGCTGGAGGATAATCAACAAAGAAGTAAAGGTCATCAACAAACTGAGACACAAGAAATTCCTGGAATGATTTAGTAGCAAACTCGGAGCATTGCTGACACGTTGTGATGGAGTGGACATGAGCCTTCTTCCTCCTTGCAGGGATTCCCTGAAAATGCACATCAGAAGGACTAATTTTCAAGCTCTAAGATTGAATCAGGCAGCCAAATAAACCTAGGCCATTCCTGCACCAGAAGCTCATGGTTGGCAACTTGTAGGAGGAAAATTGGAAGTTTAAGTGAACAGAAGAGCTGGTGGATGTGTTGATGGAGGCCCCAGAGAAGACAGTGGAGGATGAAGAAGACCCAGAATTTTGTAATCTCGTGGACTGCATCTTTGAGCATGATGAATAGATTTTGTGATTTTTTCTACAGTCTCAACTGAGTAAGAGCATACCCCGTCTTTTGATACCGAGTACATTTCCACTGAACTTTTGTTAAACTTGAAGATGAATGAAACTCTTAAAAATTGTCAAATATGAAACACAATGAAGTTAAATTTTAGTAAAAAAAAAAGGTTAAGATAGTTTTTTTGAATGCATAAGTGAACATGACAACTAGATTATGTAAATATATTTTTCCAGTCTCAACTATGAGCAAAGTCATACCTTTACTGTTGAGATGAAGTACTTTATCTGCTATTGCATTTTCTGTTATGCTAAAAGATGAATATTAATTGTGAAATGTAAAACACGATTCCTTTTTATTCAAATAAAATGAGTCAAGGCAGTCTTTTATTGCCTCTGTCAATGCTTTCAGCTGTCAGATTGCAAAGATTTGAACATCATGTTGCTCTTACATAACATGGGCCTACTTCTTATTCCAGAGGAATATGTCTGGCAGACAAGCAGATACTGAAAAGACACAGCTCACACAACCAAAAAAACATGGTATCCCATGGACTATGATATTTACAAACTGAGGACAATCAATGAAAAGTGAATCATCTCTTGCTCTCTGGCACATAACAAAAGAGGCACTAGGCCTCAGACTAAGCATAAGCAGTTAAGGAAACAAAATCCAACTGAACCAGAAAGGATTATTATTCCCATAAAAAGTTGATTTCCAAAGTCTTCAAAAAGAGAAGAAAACAGATGAACCTCCTATCCAGGAGTCTCAAAGTTCCAAAACAGCATCCACATGAGTGAACTTCTTTGGGTAATGGCAAAGGATTGGAAGATAACAATTATTCTATGTAGAAATTTAGTTCAATGCCAGTACTCCTTAAAGGTGTGGGATACTTAACTCCTTCCCTATGGAGATGGCACTTTTAATATTTGATTTGGCTAATGTCAGACGATTATATTCAGTATAGAGAGGATACTGTACACATGTGGTTAACAGAAGGTACATTGAGAATAAGTTGCTAACCAAAGAAAAATGCAAGAAAAGATTAGAATGCAAATATTAATTGAAGAAAAAAAAAGAAGACATTCTGACTCAAGATGATGAAGCATTACAAGAAAAGTAAGCCTAAGGTACTGGAGGGGTAGTAAGTCTGAGGTACTGGAGGGGTAGTAAGTCTGAGGTACTGGAGGGGTAGTAAGTCTGAGGTACTGGAGGGGTAGTAAGTCTGAGGTACTGGAGGGGTAGTAAGTCTGAGGTACTGGAGGGTAGTAAGTCTGAGGTACTGGAGGGGTAGTAAGTCTGAGGTACTGGAGGGGTAGTAAGTCTGAGGTACTGGAGGGGTAGTAAGTCTGAGTACTGTAGTAAGTCTGAGGTACTGGAGGGGTAGTAAGTCTGAGTACTGGAGGGTAGTAAGTCTGAGGTACTGGAGGGTAGTGAGTCTGAGGTACTGGAGGGGTAGTAAGTCTGAGGTACTGGAGGGTAGTAAGTCTGAGGTACTGGAGGGTAGTAAGTCTGAGGTACTGGAGGGTAGTAAGTCTGAGGTACTGGAGGGGTAGTACTAAGTCTGAGGTACTGGAGGGGTAGTAAGTCTGAGGTACTGGAGGTAGTAAGTCTGAGTACTGGAGTCTGAGGTACTGGAGGGTAGTAAGTCTGAGGTACTGGAGGGTAGTAAGTCTGAGGTACTGGAGGGGTAAGTCTGAGGTGCTGGAGGGTAGTAAGGGTAGTAAGTCTGAGGTACTGGAGGGTAGTAAGTCTGAGGTACTGGAGGGTAGTAAGTCTGAGGTACTGGAGGGTAGTAAGGAGGTGAGTAAGTCTGAGGTACTGGAGGGGTAGTAAGTCTGAGGTACTGGAGGGGTAGTAAGTCTGAGGTACTGGAGGGGTAGTAAGTCTGAGGTACTGGAGGGTAGTAAGTCTGAGGTACTGGAGGGGTAGTAAGTCTAAGGTACTGGAGGGGTACCGCAGTAAGTCTGAGGTACTGGAGGAATAATAGGACACTCAGGGATGTGATTGGGTCTTGGAGAAAAAAAAAGTAAATAAATAAATAAAAAAAAGAGCTGTGGGGTCTGGGAAACACCTACCTGGGAAGTTTTTATCATATTTAACTTAATTTCTCAGTGTTACTTATTTTGTGAGCACCTAATAGTTACAATACACAATACCCAAAATCAAACATGTATGTTTATTGCCCTACAGCCCTGACCCCCTGGGAGACATACACATGCCTTACAGCCCTGACCCCCCTGGGAGACATACACATTAGGGTGTGTCATAG